TGAGATGAGTTCGTAATAAATTTTTGGTTACAAGGTTTAACATAGCAACATGGGGCGGAACTAGGTGGGCAAAAGGGGTTCATCCGAATCTCATTTTCCCTGAAAATTCTATATTGTGGTATATTGTCAATTTTTTTTTATGTACATATATCAACAACAACCCAGAAATAATTCCACAACAAGTGGAGTCTGGGAGGGTAGAGTGTACGCAGACTTTACCCCTATCCTTGAGAATAGAGAGGTTGTTTCCGGTAGACCATCGACTTAAAGACAATCGGTAACATATATCATATATTGAATCCGCTTAACTTCTTCGCATGTTAATATTTTTTATTTTGACCAAAGAAAAAACATTTTTATTTTTCGAATTTCCTTAGTAAAAATTCTGCTTCCGCCAATACATAGCAATATACTCGATTTATGATTCTATCCCCAATAAAATCACCAAATCAATCTATGGAATATTATCCAAGATTTGAATTCCTTGGAAAAACAATGGGTTTCTTTTTCTTTCCTTTTTCCCAAATAAAAAAAAACCGTCGGCAAGGAGGACAAAATCAATAAAATTTGTTCCCCCCATGATTGGTTTGATAGAATTTAAAATAAATTAAGAGACATTCATGATTGAATGAAGCAGAAGGACAACATTTCTAACATTGAATTAATTTTTTATTCAAATGTTGTTACTATATGTTTATTGGTATATAAAGGAGACAAAATACAATACTGTAAATTAAGTGAATCTTTTTTTGTAATACTATGAACCAAATTTCTATTGACCAGTATATATTCCATTTGTTTCCAATATGTGGTAGAACAAGGAGGCAAAGAGGTACAAAAATTCTGTACGTTGTGTTCAACTCCAAACATAAAATGACATAATTAAGCACTATACTAATTAGTTATATACATTTATAATATAAATTATTGCTGTTGTTTAGCATGTTATAACAAGTTATTATTTTATTTTTCAAATTATTATATCAGATTGAATATGTAAAACAAGACCAATTATTATAGGTCAGTTTAACATGAAAATGTAAATATTTTTTAATACTAATAGGAATCATTTGGTTACCGAGATTATATAAAATCTTGGACTGCATTTATCCACCGATTGAAGGCGAGCCTTGAAGCAACGGTAAAGTTGTCTCCATGTGATCTATAGGTGAAGTGTTCGAGCTGTGGAAGCAGCCATTAATACTTGCATTAGACTAGACTGTCTATATCATATCCTTTGGAGTGCGACCCTTCTCCGAACCTGCGTGAATGCAGGATGCCTTGTGCATCTGGCTGTCTTTTATTATTATTGTTATTATTATTATTATTTGGTATTAGCTAATATAGGTCCAAATTTTATGTCAAAATCATTACAACAGCAACAACAACCTAGTGTGATGATAGGCTATAATTGCATATTTTAGTCGCTTATTACACTCGAATTTACTGCACTTTAATTGAGTTTGCGCTTTAATCGCTAGTGTTTTGCACTAATTGTGTGTTTTATGCCTTGTTGGTGTGATTCCGAGCTATATAGATGTTATGGAATGAATTTAAGTGATTTGAAGCTTTGAAGTCTGAGTAAAAGCTCAAGGAATTAAGCCAGGATCGTGTTCGGGGGTCAAATTTGATAATTAAGTACGAACGAAGACTTGAAGAGGCATATTGCGCACTGTCTAGTAAAATAGACATAACTTTTTGCTCGGAACTCCATTTGGGCTCCACAATATATGGTTGGAAAGCTAACTCAAAGAGCTACAACTTTCATGTTTTATGTTTTTCCCAATTACAAACGGAACAGGGTGAAAAATCGCGGTTTTTCCGCGACCGCGGCAGAACCGCGGCAGAAGATGGTCGCGGACAACCGAAGAATCAGAGGGCATGTTTGGCAGCGGTTCCACCGCTACCGCGGCAAAACCGCGGCAGGAAGCGAAAATTTCAGGGACTAAAGTGCAAAACATGGGATTTTAAGTCCTAAACCCTATATTAAACAAAGGAGGCCGGCCAAGAACAAGAAGGGGACATATTTTGGAGACAAATTAGACCTAAGGAGGCGGAGAGACACTACTTTAGGGTTAGACAACACCCTTGGAGGGAAGAACACATTGGGAGCAAGGCGGAGAATTCTTCTACGAGTTTTTTCCTTCCTCTTCCTATATTTTTCATTGTTGGTTATGACTTTTAGTATTGTAGTTTTACATACTATTATGAATAGCTAATTTGTTATCTAGAGTTTTGATAGAACCTTTTGTAGGATAAATTCTTGTTATGTTTTTATATAATTGAGCCATAGCTTTTCTCTATTTGTTCAACTACGTTTATATTGTGGTTGGTTGAAGAGCCCTCAATTAGCTGTGCCTATTTAGTATGCATAACTCGGGAGAGAGTGCATATTTAGGTAATTGTTGAACAACACCACTCCCAAAGTATATGAGGGATCAATAACCGAGGGTTTAAAGGTGGGATTAGGGATAACGAAGCCTTGTGTGCGATCTGAAGTGAGCTGTATTAAAAGCCAGCTAGCGTAGCTTGGGAGAGTGTGTCTAGTAAATTGTCGTAATTACTCAGGAGAGATTTACGGTAATAAGAGTGCTCATGATCGGTAGAGAATACTTAGGCGAAATTATAGAAGACATAGCGGGAAGGATTCCGACAATTGGGAAAATCATAACTCTAGACCTCCTTAATCTTTTCTCTAACCCTCAATATCTTTAGTTGTTAATTTACTATTTTAATTTGTTAGTTAAGTAGTTAAACACAAGAATCTTAATATCTATAAGTTAGGAATTGTTCAAGCTTGTCTTCTTGGTGATAGTGAACAGTTGTAGCTAAACCTTAGTTCTCTGTGGGATTCGACTCTGGACTTGTAAACCGGATTATATTTGCAACGACCGCATTGTACTTTTTATAAGGCATAGTTGGGCGTGATCAAATTTTGGCGCCGTTGCCGGGGAACTAACGGTGTAGTTGT